CACATATGGCCAGGGGGACCAAGAACTGGGGCTCCTGCAAAGGCACCACTGCCAAAGCGCCTGGCGTCTTCTGCCACTTTGCTGTCACACCAGTGCTATGATGAGCCCATGTCCCTGTAGTGTGGCTGGCGGATCAGCTGCAGCGCTGATCCCACCCCCTGCAGCAAAGCAATCCTCAGCAGCTCCCTCCCAAGCAAAACACCCACGTCGTCCTCTTGCCGGCACCCCTCCCGAAGCTGGCCTGCTCTGCCAGCCCACCCGCATCTCTATCACCCTCCCTCTGGGCATGGAAAGCTACTGCAAAATGCATTAATCACCACATCTGCCTAACAAGTGTATTTGTGGGGAGGATGCAGTGAGTGAGATACAGTCCTGTGTGTCATTTTTCCACCTGTCTGGTATTTAGGATGAAAAGATGATCAGGCCCGTAAAATACAATCCACTATGTGATGACTTGTAAAGTGGTAAAACGGAGACATTGAAAGTCATTCACGCCTCTTTTCATGTCATTGCACAGTGAAATCCTACCCACAAACATAAAATTTTTCAGGTTAAAGGCTGAAAGATTTCAAAAACACATGTAGGTAAGTTGGCTCCCTCCCTAGCCACAGCAGCTGGGTGTACCAGGGACGGATTACAGAGAGCCCCAGTCGAGTATCCCATACAGCAGGTATCAAAAGCACACAGGCCTTTCAAACACTTGCAGCAGGTCATGCATTAAAATGTACCTTGGTGTCATCTGATAATAATGCATAAAAAATATTACGGCCTCCAATCCATGAGTTCCCACTCCTGCTCCATGGACAAGAGCTCTGATTGCACTGGAAATGCATAAGCTGCCTCTTCAAAGCCAGAGGGAGCCTCATTCCTCAGAAATTGCATCCAAAGCAGCATGTGAAGAACTTCAGTATATTGCCAGACAAGGGCCAGAAGAAACCCTAGTCATCCTCATGCTGACCTGCCACCTAAGGGCACACGGTCTCACCCGGCGAGAGCTCCAGCACAAAGCCTGTTAACTTACACCGCAGCTAAAGTTTATCTATCCAAAAGATAGACGGTCGTGAAATTTCTTAAGTAGGTCTCATCTGTATTGGTAAATCTCAGCAAAGCCGATTCCAGGTCACTGTCATCAGCCTGCTCGTCTGCTCTGGGAAGAAGCAAAATTTAGGATGGACCAGCAACTGCCAAACGGGCTGTTTTCAGCCCTTTGTCCATGCAATGTTGCACGCTAGAGGTAAACAGTACAGATCCTACACGCTGAGATTTTTCTGCCACTGTATTTGGGATTGCAGTGGTTATTCCTATTTTATCAGTCAATAGGACTCCTGTTTACTGGATGCAACCGTAAAAGGTAAAGAAGGCCCAGCAGGCACAGGTAACACCATTAAAGGTTGGTCTCGACAACGGTAAACTGGGTTTAAAAGTTTGGAACAGAATGCCGAGAGAGGAGCCTCTTTCCTGAACCAAGGAATAATATAAAGCCCCACTTTCTCCCCTATGTGACTTTTGTCATTATCATCTTTTCTGATTCTTACAAAGCAAACCTAATTAGGAAGCTCTCTCATTAGTCTTCCAGAAAAATTAGCACAGCTTATGCTAATTACTCCTGTAAAATTTAATAAACTCGTTGAAATGGGAATAGTCTAATGAGGTTTTATTTATTGAACTATAACTATAACTATAACTGTAAGGAAAAAGGTTAGGACACCAGGATATCCAGAGTGGTAATAAAACTACAATTTATTCAATTTCTTCACAGGAATTTTATTGCAAACCTTTTAAATTCAAATATGAGTTACAATTTGAAAGTTAAATCAATCCAGAATTTAATTTAATAACAGGAAGTGCTCTGTGTTTTCTTTAAGTGTGATTACAATGCAGCCCTGCCACTGCGCTTGTAGGAGGAATTGTGCGTTTGTATTGTGACAATAATACCCCTTTTAAAATGAGTTCCTGTTCATCAGAGCCTCATCTCAACACATGTAACTGGATTAGCGATAAAATATACAGGCTATGCTAAGAAGATGATTCAGACACACACAGGTTTCCAAGAAACTTCCTTGAAACGACTGCTCTATAAGCATAATAGATTTATGTTGTTCTCCAGAGAAAATTTAGATCGCTATATGAGTATAAATGTCTTTAGGTGCCTTTCACTGCTGTATCTGCTGATACTATAATAGAGCAAAGTATAAAGCAATTTTATAAAGGATAAAGTCGTGTCCTGTTTCAAACTTTTTTTAAATCCCACATTTTGATTAAATAAAAATATATGATTTAGTTTTCATATATATCTAGGGTTTGAAAAAGAACACAACACATGTAACTTTGAAGTTGCCAAACAGCCTCTTTGCCAAGTTCACTAAACCACCACAAAGATGGAGCTCTCTCTATCCCAAGTTTCTCTAGCCTCATCAAAGAGAATTAATCAATCCAAAATAGTATTCCAGCATGTAAGACGAGGATAGCATTTCCATGTAAGTACATATGTCAAAAATCCCATGGATAGATCCTACATTAAATTCTATGTTAGGTCAGAGTCTGTGGATTCGCAGGATTTGATGCAAGACTTAGATTAAATCCACAGGCAAGACTTTACCAGAGTGTAAGGCATGTGGGAGTGCTTTAGCCCAAATGGTAAATGAATTCTGTAAGCTTACATGCAAATAAAAATAGCTAAATATGGTTTTGCATATCAATTGACATAATAGTTAAAAATTGTGTGCATGGAGAAGTGACAATAGAGTACAACTAAACACATGTTCTGACTTGTGCAGGCATTTTAATGTTACAACAATTTTAAAGGACTCGTTTTAAGGTAAAAAGGCTCCATACAGACCACTTCATCCTTTCCAAACCAAAAGGGGAAAAAAAAAAAAGGTAGGATAAATGTCACAAGAAACATCACTAAAGCCACTGACTGTATAAAGCACATACTTATTTGGCCTAAATTGTTTGAACTAGCCCCGGCCAAGAAAAGGTTTTAAGTACCCTACTGGGACAGATGCGAAGCGGCAACAATAGAAGCCACACTAATGCAATCCAGGTAACACAATCCTGTTTCAAAAACACGGGGAGGGCTAATTACAGTACTGCTGAGTCAAATTTCTTATACCATTGCAACCCACAGGAACAGGTCAAAATCAAATGTTATTCAAACGACAGTCATATCAACCTTCTATATCAAAGTCACAATTTAAAACCAAGTCAAGGACTTAAAAGCTTAACCCATTCGCAAGCCAAGCGTGATTCGGTACGGGTGGTGAGGTAGGGTTTGTATTATCATCTTTAAATTATGTTTAGCTTGCATTTTAAAAATAATCTTCAGAATTGGTACCTTTTGCATCAATTTACGTAAAGACTGATAAATTGATCACTGCTAGGAAGCTAAATCTGTTTTTTTCATGTAACTGTTTTCCTCATTTTGCAGGAAGCACGTAACAGACAGCATCTCTGGCTTTCATAATTTAAAATGATTTGCAACTAGCAGTTTTGCATACTAGATAGTTAAACAAAATATTTCCGTAAACCTGCCATTAGCATCCTAACATCTCACTTTCCAGTACAATGAAAAATTCATGTGAATTTTGTAGCTTTCATGTTGCTCAAAATGCCACTCAACACCATGTTTATAGTGTTCAACTCTGCAGCATGCTTATAAAACACATCTCTATACAGATTTCACTGTGGGGTTCTCTTTTCCCCCACTTTCCCTGGTACTACCTAATGCTCACAGGGGATGAAAATATACCTAGTTAAAATAGATAGAGATACCTTCTGAGATTTAAACATTCTCAGGATTATTTATTATAGCTAATCAAAACATCTGCTATAAGCTCCCAATATACGCACTTTCTTACCAAATTCGAACAAGAACTGTAAATCTGGGAGTCTGGATGAGCACAATGCCAGGCAAGCTCTGCCATATCCCTGGCCCGCTCTCTGCGTGTGGCACCCAACACATCAAACCCTCTTCACCTTCTTTCATAAAACGGACACGCTGGCGCGGAAGACACTTTAAACTTAATATAGCAAACATTAACTCAGACAATAATGCAAGGAGAAGCACACTATTCTATGCTTTCAGCCCTATATGGAGAGAGAGTTTCCCTTCGGGGTCCCTCTGTTCACAGGTTAGTGCGAGGGTATTGCTTTCCCCAGCTGATGACAGACACTTTCAGTACTTCATGGCCATTTAACTCTGCTAGAGTAATGCTGCATAATAACCTGGTTATCGCACATGGCTTTGTACAATGAGTTTGGACAATTAAAATGTAAAAATGACTATTTGGCTACCATTTTGCATAATTTGCAAGCACAGAAACTACGCGTGGCTCGGAAAAACTAAAATAGATGTATTGTACTACAGTGATTTACTCGGTGATGTCAGATTAGCAATATGGATCTGTTTAAAAACACAATAATTAAGACAGGCAAAAATGAATTAATCAACTGACAATACAGTCAAAATAGTATTCCAACCAAAGAAAATAACAGGAGAAAAAACCTTACTTTGCAGATCTTTTTTTTTAACTGTTTTTATGCATAAATAAAAACCTTAAAATGTAGATGGATTGCATCCAACAGAACTACTGTAGCTAAAAGTGATAATGATTCAAACATTTTTCAAATAAAAGTTAAATATTTATAAGCACCCAACCACATTTCATAAATCACAAACTATTATTATTTTATTCCTGAAGCTTCCCTGGCACAGCATGTGAATTGAGCCACAGAAAGTCAGAAAGAAAAATCTCCTCTTTATGCACATGAATCAGTTACAAGAAGCGGAGCCCTCCAAAGAGCAGGTCGCTCCGTTATCCTCCATATGGCCCTTCCGTGGCGATCGCAATTGCAAAGCACAACTAATTTGGTATCAAAAACAAAATTTCATCCGTATATACTCCTAATTCTTCCCCACTAGCAACACAGGGCAGGTGTTTCATTATAATGAGGAGGGGGAGAAAAAAAAAATGGAAGGAAACAATAGCAGTCCTTACCTGTCAATTATCACTGGATCTGATGGAGTCTCATTTCTGTTGCCACAGCTTTTCTTGTCACAACAGCGGCTACAGAGCAAAAGTGAAAGGATTTAGTGCGACCATTACACTGTAAAATCATCATTACGAACATGGTAGGTTCAAATTGCTGGCTAGAGTTACCGCTCCGTCCCTGCCTGGAAATCAGTCAAATGTAGTGGGTCACATATGGGTTAATTACTATGTTTAACTTCTTGCACAGCTGGTTAGCAACGGCAAATATAAAAAGAGAGGGGGTTTGCCCCTTTCACAAATAATAATTCAAGGATCACCCGAAACAGGGAGACCTGCTTATTTGTAGCCTCTTTTCCATAGGGTTTAACAGTTGTCCCGCATACGCTTGCACACAAAATAAGGCAGCTTTTTCCCCGCTGAGCCTGGTTTTTACATTTGCTTAACGCTTATGTTACACGTCCACAAGATATTCCTGCTTCTCCACAGAGCCAAATTCTCAGCTACTGGGAAACCTCCCCACGAAATCTGAAAGCACAATTATTCTCCCTCTAAGAAACACTGTTGTTAATGGGGGAGCCAAAATGCAAGCGCCATCGGCAGCGGCGTTTTTATGCTCGAGCGTGCCTGTTTCCCCAAGTTTTCTGAGCATGTTAATGATTGCTAATGCCACGGAGAGCACAGCTCCAGCGGCTGGTGCCCTGCGTCAGGTCAGATACAAAGCAGGCATGTGAAATATAAGCTCCGTCTCCCAAAGCACTGCTCCATCGCTGACCTCGAGGCTGGGATTCTTTTGAACTAAGGTGGCTCATTGTTTCCTAAGAGAAGTTAAATCGTTGTTTGTGATGATTCCTTGTCAGGGGTTATTGTCCATTAGGAGCCACAAATATATTGCAGGTAAGCTCACAGCAATATACGCGATTCTGCTCAGGGTGGGAATCCCTCGTGGTGCATCTAGAGCTGTGGCCAAGTGATGGGGGGGCTGCCCACAGGAGCCCTGCTCTCCCCAGCAGCCCGTCTAAACCCACAAGACCGAGTCACAGCTACGTAGGTGAGCAAAGCCTCAGGCTTTCACCCACCCGCTCACCCCAGGGAGGAAACACCCATCTAGCAAGGAAAGCTCCTATTTGGTGACATCCCTTGACAGAAAATTCCGCACTGAAGTCAAGGCTCCAAGCAATAAAAAAAAAAAACCCAACA